TGACATCATACGCTGAGGTTGGTGAGCTGCAAGATATAGTGGTCTTCTTCGCGTTAACGTCCATTGAGGCGATGATTATTTAAAGAGATAAACGCCTACTATTAATTTTGAAGAGTATTTTGCAAATCGTGCAAAGCCGAGTAAAGTCACTTGCTGTGTTACTATGGCCTGATCCAGCGTCGTACCATTCAATGCAAGTATTCACAAAAGTATCGCCGACATCGCATTCGGATGTGTCGTCACCATTGGCACCGAGCCACATTTCGAGCTAGACTTTGTTGACGATGCAAATTGCGCTACCGGCGAAACTTAAGGGAATGTGTCGAAGTAATGGTACTAGGCTGAAAGAATACATTAGAACAATATTTAAGGTGTACTTAGTCTATTTAGGTCAAGATAACAAGGGGACTGGCAGTTGCAGTTTCACACAATGCGGTATGGACCTAAGGTTTCCATTGAATTTTGTATACAGAAAAGGTATTCTTACCCAGACGAGAGTGGATTGCAGTTTTGACGTCGCCTGAGTCTTATCAGCACCCCCAGTTGGACACGTTAAGCTCTACACCACATTGCCACGAGTGTCCTTTGGGAACAAGGCAGATATGAATTTGTTGGGGGGACTTTCATATCGTACGAAAGTGTATGAACAAGATATTCTTAGGTCGATCTCACCAGAAAATGACGGCTGAATCCCGTTGCACTGCAGCCGTTTGGCTTTTATACGACGTTCCGTTTGACGCAGTCCACGAGACCTCCTCCCTCGTTTCGGGTGAAAATGGGCTGAGATTTCGTCCATCATATCATTGACATCATCAGAGTTGCGTCAACCTGAACATCGTGTAAAAGCCAAACGTCTGCAGTAAAACGGGATCCATCCGTCCTCATCTGGTGAAATCGACCTACGAATCTCTTTTTCACATACTTTCATATGAAGCGAAAGTCTCCCCAACAATGTTTTCTCAGGAGTCTTATCGAAACCCAGTTACTTTTCGTATCTAAAGATATGAATTCCAGGGAAGGCCAGGTACTGTCACATATCACATTATGTGGTTGGATGGTTGATGAAGCAAACTTATATGTGTTATATAAGGTGTTTTCACACTGTTTCGTTTAAGGTGAAGAAGGACTGGTAGTTGAATTTTCCCACAATGATATGAGTTGAGCTGACGTTTCCATTGAATTTCGCCCAGACTTGCCATCTCAAAAGATGTTCTCACCCAGGATGGACTGTAGTTTCGACCTCGCATAGGTTTTATCAATACCCCAAGTGGGATTCGCACCATGACAGTACAGTGTGTAAGCTCGGCACATTAGCCCCTACGTCACATTACCACGAGAGCAATTGGGTCATAGGGGAGATGCGAATTTCAAGGAATGTTGTTGATGATTGTTGATGAAGAAACCTATATTTGCTATAGCAATCGACGACATTACTTTTTTCGTGAGTGAGTAGGTTTTCGAGCCTGTCAATAAATCAAATATATATAAGATGCATTCATCCTGTTTTGTTTAGGGTGAAGAAGCGCATCGCATCACATCCCCTCAATTAAATTTCCTTGCCGTCTTGCTTCCTCACAAACGGCGACAACACGATGCCCCGACACGAGCAAGGAAGTCAATCTGACGAGCGGATTCAACCGGCCTCCTGTGGTACCTGGTTACTGCTGCCACCGGAAGCCGGCCAAGGCAACAAGCATGTGATCTAGCCTCAGCTCCACGCGAATGCCTGGCAGAAGGGAAGAGATGGAGACCCTATTGCCCTCTTGTGCCGGATGTACAGGATGCGTCCGTGCCTCTTTCTGCCCAGGAGGGCTAGACTGGATCCGGCCTCCCGGCAACTCGGCCTTTCCGTCCAGACTCCTCTTCCTGCTACGCATGTCATGACATTTGTTTGCTTTCACTCTCTACTCCTGTTCGTGTGCTCGGGGCCCAGCCTCTCGCACTTCGGGCGTTGGCTACCGCCATTTCTCTATTGCGCCACCATCGAAGTTGTTCTACAACTTGATACCGGGCTGCTGCCAACCGAGGCAAGCGTTTGAGGCCGTGCCAGAAAAACTGGCCCGCGGGAGCTGCGACGGGGTGTGCATCGGGTGCAGGCTGGGTGTGAATAAATGCCACCCAGGACATGGGGCTAGGCAGATGTGCACACGACGGGGAGTGCTTGTTGCCCACCGCCACCCCCCCCACCCTAACAGAGATTGGCAGATTCGGCCAGCCGGGCTCATTGTGTTCCGCATGCCAGGCCTGTGTTGCCAGCTGGGTGCTCACAACAAGTCCAGGTTGTCACCGATCTCGTGCTTTGTCTGTTCACTACTCTTGAGTTGTAAAGCCAGTGTCAGCCAGTGTTAACATAACTATTGGCATATCAGAAAAGTAGAATCCCATCTTCTGTACTGATTAATAGGCATCAAATGGGGGCATGTAGGTACACCATAGAATAAGCAGGAAAGGCAATTGAAGATATGAAGACCAAGATGTTGTGGGCTCTGGAATGGTCGCAGTCTCCTTTCGATTGATAGACTTTGGTTGACCTCGTTGTCGCAACTTGGTCTTGTTCTCAGGGCGACTATGTAGAACGCACCTAGTCCGAAGTC